CATGCGTTTGTTTTGTTTGTTTTATTTGTTTTTAAGACAGGGTTTCTCTGTGTAACCTTACCTGTCCTGAAACTCACTCTGTATAACAGGCTAGCCTCAAAAATCAGAGAGCCACCTGTCTCTCCCTCTGGGTATTAGGATTAAAGGCGTGTGCCACCACCATCTGGCTTTTTTTTTTTATAGGACTGGCTGTTAACTTTAAAGCGTATGCATTTTAGACATAAAGAAAGCAAACATGACTGTAACAAAATAAGACTGACTTGTAAAGCATATTTACTGACTTTTTTTGTCTTTTTGTTTACAAAAATAACATGCTTTTTGAAACAGGGTAGTATTGAAACATTAAAACAGCTAATAGCAACAACTATTATTTCCAACACTTCCTTCTAATTGTTTTGTAACTGTTTTACTATAGTTGGTATATATTAAGGACATCTCATTTCTATGTGAGACTGCTATTCATAGTTCTAAGTAATCATTTACTTGACCTTTTCTTAATGGACTGTTGTATATCTAACAGTTTGCTATGGTTGAGTGATTAGGGTGTATGTTTTAGGTTCTTCTGTAGTGAGATACTCCTATGGCTCCTGACTTAAGATAGCTTAACTTACCCCCTTTTGACTTCATAATAGTACAGAAGTAGGATGTATCAATAGATGAGATGTTCAGTTTAGAATTTTGACTTTTTTCTTAGGCAGCTATGTGTACTCTTGTAAAGTGTGGAGTAACAATAGCAAGCACCACTTCCAAGTCAGCCACTCTCTTGTTCATAAACAATGGTATTTTGCTTCGTGCTCTGCTGCCAAGCTTGGTTTGAGGCTTGGTTTCTTAGGTATTTTAATAGTATTTCCACCTTTTGTTACTATGTTTTTCTAAGTCCTAATGAGTTTATCAGAACATAACATCAATCATGGAATATCTGTATATCTTTAGAAAACTTCGTGATTGTTTTATTGGAAGGAAAGATCTAAATCCAAAGGTAAAAACAGTGTTAAGCTTCATTTATCCATTCATAGAATGAATATTTAAGGTATTTTAAGTAAGTTTTAACTAGGCACATATGTACATATTGAGAAACAGGCAGGTGGGCTTGCTACTGCTTTCTGAAAGTTGTAGTCACTTACAGACTTTCTGTAGTTGTTAAGTCCTACCCTGTTTCATCCATCAAAATAGTAAATATTGTATTTTTTAATAGCTTGCTAATTTGACTTGTGAGAATATTTTCTTTTTATTTGTCTTCTTGTCATTCATAGCCTTTATGGTTTTAGGGATATTTTTATGTTATTAATTACTTTGAGTTTATTAAAAACTAAAGGTTAGCCAGTTTGTAACTGTTCCAGCTTATTTATATTTTAACTATGATTGTAGCATAAATTGTAGTATATTGGAGTTTATATTTTTATGAAAGCAAAAGGAAAGTCTGTATATGGCAGTAAATGACATTTAATCAAGATACTTTATCACCCCTGTGGTAGACATCTGGGAGGTGATCCAGAACTACTTCTCATTAACTGTGTTAAAGAGAACACATATTTAGATTTAGAAGTGTGAGTTTTTATAATAGGATTTTGTTCATATTATAAAAGTAGTAAATTTGGTACTTTTACATAGTGTGAGTTAGTAAATAGTGGATCTTTAGGATGTTAACTGAAGATAGCCATATACCTCTACCTTTGGGGAAGCCGTTAGAAGTTTTTACATGGTTTTTACTCATGTTCAGCCATAACTAGATATTTTGCTATCTTAAACATCAGTAGTTGATTAATCTTTAATACCATTCGTAATTCTGAACAATGGATCTAATACGCAGTAACCAACACCAGCAGAAATTCTTACATTTTGACTAAACAATGTTATAGTTACTTTTTAAGGTTTGTTTTAGTGTTTTTCCCCTTTGTTGCTAGAGTATTTAAGGATAAAGGAGGAAGAATGCAGACCTTTTCAAACTTGGTATCATCAGAAAAGGACAGTGCATTGATTTGGAAGTGGGACTCATTATTGCTCTCACACTTACCTTACTATAGAAATTTTCCATCTTCCTGCCTAGAGATTTCCCTTACCCATATAGTGAAGAGCTGGGTATTGTAAAGCGTGGATCTGTGCCAAACTTTATGTTAAAAGTCTCATGTCCTCAATGCTTAGAGCAAGCTATGTGAACTCTGCAGAAGAGAGAAAGGGACTGTGCATATGTCTTTGTTTGCCAATCTTACTTTATTATAAAATACCCGAGGTACTCCTCCAGGTCTCTCACCTGGGAACTGTGATTCAATAGGTCTGGGACTGCAATGGGACCTGGGAATCCATATTTTTGGTAAGTTCCCCTGGTGATTATTATCATTGGGCAAGTATGGGTAATGATGACTTAAATATCACAAAACTCACTGTCCTACCTCATTGATATATTATTTAGTTTGGTCATGGTTATGTGATGTTGAACATAATAAGTTGAGCGTGTGGCTAAGAGCAATGTGAGCCTGGAGAACAATCTGCTGTATTCTTGGTTGGTTACACTTGTTCAAACTACTTGAGTGTGAGCCCAAGGACCTGGTGGTGAGATTCTCATGTAAGGGACCTAGTTTTAGTATAACTGGGAAAAAAAAAAACTGCATTGAATTTATTTTATCTTTCCTAAAGAATTTTCCAAGAGAAATGATGATGTAATGTGGTGATTGTGGCTCCTCTTTGTTTTTAAATTTTTCAGTTCTTAGCTTTGTTATTTACCTCCTGACAGTCTGGGAACTAAAAGTGACCTTTGACATTGTGTTAGAAATTGATTTCCAGAGAGTAAACTACAAAAATACTTTTGGTCAAAGTCAAACATTTATTCTGGTATTGTTAGTTTTATTAAAGTCTTTCATAGAAATTTTCTTTTGCTAATGGTAGAAACTAGTATTAAGTTAAAGAAGTAAATATAAGTTAATGGTAAATCCACAAAATATTTTTTCATAAATCCTCAGTTTTTATTATAATATTTTGGATACTTAACATATTTATGCTTGGGAATTAGAAGTGCCTTTGTTCTGGCTTCAGTAAAATTTTGAAGGGCTGGCTTATAGTTAGGTTTCTTGGCTTGGTTTTAGAAGGTAGTCTTCTAGGGTTATGTTTGCCTCTAATGTAGGTATGTGGTTGCTGGAGGAAGAGACTGCTGTCGTAACTGAGTCCTTAATTCTGAACAGTTCCCTGCTTACTGGAGCCACTGAAAGGCTCCTCATTGGTGAGAGGAGGCATCGCCTTTTTCTTTAAGATGGAATGTAGCTTAACTCAGCCACAAGAGATGTTTGCCACTTGGTGTCTCCTTCCTGGTTCTGCTGAGAGCATGAGAGGTGTGCATAGCCCCTCATAGCTGTGGCTACAGCTCCATCTGGCAGCACTAAATAGCTGCGGAGACTGAGAGCTCCTGAACAGAGCATGTCTGTGGTAGCCTCTGGTGAGTAAAAGACCCTTTGTAAGCCCAGTGAAATTTATAAAATGTGTAGAAGCTAATGAAATTGAGTTGATGGTAAGGGTTAAAAACTCACCATTGGACTATTATGAATGATCATTTACTTTTTGGCTATTTTAAGTTTTGTCTTTCTTGAGAGTTGTGAAGCACTGGGATGGTTGGACATAAGACAAACCAATCCCATCTTGTTTCTGCACTGTAGTTGTAGGTGTGAGTGGGAGAACAGCTGTTTAAAGTGATGGTGGTCTTGAACATTATTTTTCTCTTTCTCCTGGCAGGGAGGACATGTATGCTCAGGACTCTATAGAGCTACTAACAACATCTGGTATCCAGTTTAAAAAACACGAGGAGGAAGGAATTGAGACCCAATACTTTGCAGAACTTCTTATGACTTCAGGAGTGGTTCTTTGTGAAGGGGTCAAATGGTTATCATTTCATAGGTAAAAATAAATAAAAAGATTGTAGCATGCTTGCATCCTATCTCTGCCTTACACTTATTTGGGTCACATATCTATCAGAAGTTCTATGCTTGGTTCTAGAAAGAATTAACTACCATGAGAGACAGTCTACCTCACTTGAGAATAATGTTGTCCACTTTACCTCTTAACAAGGAATTTGTTTTAACCTGTGAGAGGTAATGTTGCTTAGTGGAAAGAACATAAGCTAGAACAAACCTTCACTAATGTCTGGCAAACCATTGGGGATTTGTGTTGCTCATGGGTCTTAACCATTTATATATATATATATAGTTATAGTTATAGTTATATATATAGTTGTTATAGTTATAGTTATATAGTTATATATATAGTTATAGTTATATATATAGAAGGAGGCCATCCATTTAAAAACTTAGTGATACTTTCCTGATGGGAGCCACTGTGTTAGGATCCTAAAACTTAACACAACAAACTAGAATTTCCCTCCCTGTGTAGCTTCCTCTCTACTGAAGGTAAACCAACACGGTTTGACCTAATTTTTTTTTTTTTTTTTTTTTTGGTTTTTCGAGACAGGGTTTCTCTGTGTAGCTTTGCGCCTTTCCTGGAGCTCACTTGGTAGCCCAGGCTGGCCTCGAACTCACAGAGATCCGCCTGGCTCTGCCTCCCGAGTGCTGGGATTAAAGGCGTGCGCCACCACCGCCCGGCTGGTTTGACCTAATTTTAAGTGTGGTTTGTTACATAATAATAAGTACTATAAAGAATAACTGATCAACAGAATGCCAAGACTGGATATTAGGTGATTTTTAATTTTTGGATGAGGTCCTTGGGAAGGCTATCCTTAGCAAAAAACATCTTAGAGATTTCTCTCAAGGGTCAGTTACAACCTATTTAAAGCACCTAGTATTTTATATACTCAGAGCGTGATGACGTTTAATTCTTTATTATTATAAAAATAAAACTGGATAGTTAAGATTTCTAGAGGGAAGTTAATTCACTTTTATAAAAGTTAATTTACTTGCAGGTGTGAGAAAATGTTTTCCTTTCTAAATTAACTGATTTAGCAGTTCTGGGACAAAAAGTGACCTTTGTTTTATATATATATATATATATATATATTTTAATTAATTTGTCTATCTGATAACAGGGTTTCTGTCTGTAGTCTTAAGTTTTTAAAATGTACTGTGTTGCTAGGCATAGTGACACACGTCTTTAACTCCAGCATTCAGGAGGCAGAGGCAGGAGAATTTCTTGAGTTAAAGGCCAGCCTGGTCTAGATAATAAGTTCTGGGCCAGTCAGAGCTACACTAATCTTGATAGCCTTCACACTTTTTTTTTTTTTTTTTCAATAAGAATCTTCCACATGGAATGATTGTCATGGTGGGTAATTCCTGAAGTAGACTTTGATGTGGTATTATATAGTGAGTTTTAAGTTGTAAGTACTGAAAATAAGAATTCTTGGATACCAGCTTTTCTCTATGTTCCCACTTGTAAAGATACAAAGTAACTAGTTCTTTTAGTTTGTATAACACATCATTGACTCAAAAAATATTTCGGATAAGTACTATTGACTCAGCACTGGGGGTAGCAGGATGGGCAAAACCAAGCAGGTTCATGTTTTCATCAGCTCTTCAGTCTAGATTAGCGTGTGGTATGTTTATAAGATTATTCCATTAATATTTTTTTCATGTTCTGGTCTATTTCTATTAATTTTTTAAAATTATAAATCCTGCCAGTTATGGTACCTTTAATCCCAGTACTTGGGAGGCCAAGGCAGGTAGATGTCTTGAGTTCAGGCTATCCTAGTTTCCATAGTAACTAAACTTCAGCCCAGCAAGAGTTAGGTAGTGAAACCTGGTCCAAAAAAAATGAATAAGTAAATTACACACATAAATATTCACATATATATAAATTCTAAACTATAATATTTTACTAGAAGTAAGCAAAAGCCACAGTACTATATTTTAGGTAACTTCTTTGCAAACTAATAAATGTAAGCTTTCTGCTCTTGGGTGCTTGTGCTAAAGATCTGTGGTAAAAACAACTCCCCTTTCAAATTAAAAGTAAAATAATGAATATCAAATAAAAGTTTTATTTTGTATCTCCAAAAGAGAGGTCATTTGCCAAATATGAGTTTGAATTATATGTAAGGGAAGATAGAAGTGTCATTCCTGTCCTTTAAGCAGTGGAGAAAGTCCATGTTCCTAAAGGCTAGTACCAGCAAGCATTTGTGCTATGAAGAGATCTCCAGGAATTGGGCGCCTAGGGAAGGCTGCTGTAGCAGGCCCTCCTTAGGAAGTAGTGTCTGAGGAGGTCAGGGGAGGGAGCTGGCAGCTGCGGAAAGTGGTGAGCATGTATGCTCTCCATTTGAGACAGCAGGAGCCTGTAGTGTATCCATCGAGTAGGGGAAAAGCCAGCTCTCACTCTTTCTTTGTTCATGTGTAACTTTTCTATTGATAATATCTCTTGGAGAATTGTACTGAGGTAAAAACAGCATTTGAGGAAATGTACATACTAATAAAGTCACTTAGGGGAAAGGGAAATACTCTGTTAGGGACTTCTTTAGAATCGGGAAGTAGGTGTCAACATTTCCTATAAATCTTAACAAACTTTTACATGATTTTTGCCTTTGAAATGTCATGTCTTGCTAGCTTCTAACATTTTTTTTGTTCTCCTTCCCATTCATCATTCTTAATGTCCATTATAGTTTAATTTTTTTTTTTTTTTTTTAGAATTTTTCTGTTTTATGTGTGTGGGTGCATGGGTGTATTCTGTCTGGGGTTGACATAACTCTCAGGTTTTACTTGGGTGCTGGGAATCAAACTCATACTCATGTTTGAACAGCATCTCCCTAGCCCAGAATTTTCTTAAGTATCAGAAAAATGTTAGTTTAGACAATAGAGTTGAATTAATAGTCTCGTATGCTTAGGACTCAGAGCAATCACTGGGCCATAAGCTCACAGCATTTCTGCATTGCGGTTATGAATGTGTTTCCTTTCTTTGTTCCTGTGTGCACATTTTTGTTTTTATTCCTTTTGCCTATAGCATGATTTGTTAAACTTTGTATCTGAAAAACTAATTTCTTTCAATGTTATTGATGGGCTTTTTTTGTATTATTTTAATCTTTTTATTAGTGGTTATGACTTTGGCTATTTAATCAAAATCCTGACCAACTCTAACTTGCCTGAAGAAGAACTTGATTTCTTTGAGATCCTTCGATTATTTTTTCCTGTCATTTATGATGTGAAGTACCTCATGAAGAGCTGCAAAAATCTCAAAGTAAGGCTTCAGATGACTTTATCTGGAACAGCACATTGGTTAAACCAGTGGTTCTCAACTTGTGAGTTGAGATCCCTTTGGATTCAAACGACCCTTTCACAGGAGTCACCTAAGACCATGAGAAAACACAGATATTTACATTACAATTCATCACAGTAGCAAAGTTATAGTTATGAAGTAGCATTGAAAATGATTTTATGGTTGGGGGCCACCACAGCATGAGGAGTTTAATACAGTTGTGTTAAAGGGTCATAGCATTAGGAAGGTTGAGAACCACTGAGTTAGCCCAAGTAACGTATATAATGTCTTAGGCCTGTATGTTTTAAGCCATATTTTCAAAGTTATGTTAAATGCTGTTAAATTATGTGATCCTGTTCTTAACAGAAATAATAGTGTATAGATAATCCCTCTTCAAAACTGCAGTATTTATGTTGGCAGGATGAGGATGTGTTTTTAGGTTTATGTTTTGTTTGATTGTTTTTTTGTTTTGTTTTAAATTTATTTTATGTATATGAGTATTTTTGCCTGCATGTGTATCTACATACCAAGTGTGTGCCTGCTGCCCAAGGAGGTCAGAAGAGGGCATTTAATCCCTTAGAATTGTAGTTATGGAGGTTGTGAACCACTGTGTGAGTGCTGGGAATTGAACCCTGGTCCTCTGTAAGAACAGCAAAGGCTCTTAACTGCTGAGCCATCTCTCCAGCCCAGAATAAGGTTGCTGTATTTATTTATTTATTTATTTATTTATTTATTTATTTATTTATTTATTTATTTATTTATTTATTTATTTTTAGGATTTATATGTGTGTCTGTTCCTGTGTACCTGTATAGCTAGAACTGGCAGTGACTAGAAGAGGGTGTCAGATCCTCTGGAACTGGAGTTATGAGCAATTGTGAGTCACCCAGCGGGTGCTGGGAACTGAACCTGGATCTTCTACAACAGTAGTTAAGTGCTCTTAGCTACTGAACCAACTCCAGCCCCCAGAATAAATTTTTAACAAAGGTCAAGCTAAGGGTCAGATTTTTGTTACTGCTGCCAGATAGAGAATCATGGACTGAAAGACAAGTGTGAGGAGTAGTGGTCCCATTATGGAGGTGCTCATGCTCCCAGCACACAGAACTGTCATAGAGAGGCAGGTTGGGGTTGGCCAGCAGCGGGCAGAGACATCCAGTAGTGTGTGAATGAGTTTTTCCTTAAGACTGCCCTGATTACAGACATTTTCTTCATTCTTTCTCGTTGAAATGTGATGCTTTTATGATTTAATTACATAGCTGAACTGGTTAGGTGTAAGTGCTATAGTAAATGTGTAGGCTCTACCTTAGGCTTGGCTTAGTCTGATACTACTGAGCATGTATAACCATTTATTTTTAACCTTTGAACATTAATTTTATCAAAACAAACCTTTCCTGGTTAAAGAAAAGTACTTCTTCGGCTTAAGAGCAAATTCTCTGAGTTGGCACATATCCCTGGCGGTACAGTGTGTGGGGTTTTAGTAGCTGGGTTTTGGTGTGAACTTAAGTTATAACTGAGGACATGAAAACAAATTTAGATACTGTGGTTGTTTAATAGTCGGGATTGCCCTTTCTTCAGGAAAACCAAGATTGGTCAAGTTTCTAGGCTTCAGAAAAGCACAGAGTTGTGCTTTGAGGGATAGTAAGGACTTAAGAGTTTTTCTTTAGCAGGAATAGAGGAATTGAATGTGGAGGCTTTGATTTCAACAAAGGAACTGAGAATTGTAGGACTAACACAGGTTCTTTGCCTCTGATGTCGGTATGGCGCCAAGTAACTAGGGAGTTTTTAAAGGATAGTTTCATGACTGTATTCTGGATTGTTCGAGGAGTCTTCTCTAAGTTAGCTTCCAGCAGAACATCCTGACCACTTATACAGACGTGTGGCGTGTTGAGAGTCTAAGGCTTCCATGCTTTGATATGGCTCGGGATTTTTGTGACCGCTTGGCACAATCATAGTTTTCGGAAACAGAGTACTAAGTTTCTACTCCTCTTTATTCAGAAGTGTCAGAATACCAGATATTTTATTGTGTGCCATGTGAGCTGCTTATATTAAAAAGTTCAGTCAGTGAGAAGGTACGGTTCACTCACTTCTGTTCTACTCCTGTGTTACAAGCAGCTGCTCATGACACTTAATACACATGATATTTTTAGCACAGAAGCAGTTGCTATACAAAGTCCTATCGAAAGCTAGGATGGGAAGGTCTGGTTTGTTAGTAAAGGCTTTAGAATTGAAGGAGGAATTTCCTTGGTAGATTCTACTTCTGTCTATCTTTTATTTCTCTTTTTTCCGTTCACATTCTTTTTTTTTTTCCTCAGTCCTGGCTATATTACTGTAAGCAGTTTTATATTTGTAAAGTTCTCTTCTTGGGTGACAAAAAAATAAATAAATAAAGTTATGTGGTATATTGACAGTGATCTGAATGATCGTGATATCTTTGCTTTATTTAGTTTTAAACAATTCACTGGATAGATAGATAATTTCAAAGAAACTGTCTATACTTGTCACTGAATTTTTTAATGATTGATGGTTCAATACACTGAGTATAGTTAATTACTTTTACTCTGAATACGAACTACATTCTCCATATCTTTAGGGAATGGTTTACCTGTCATGTGCCTTAAAATACATAATTAAGATAAAATTTCCTATTATAATTTTCATTTTCTGATAAAAAGGCTTTTAAATTCCACAAATATATTATTTTATTTTTATTGTATCAACCCCCTTGCCATCTTTACAAGGTTAGTCTTTACATATTAAAAATTAATTCATATTTTTCTTAGTCTAAATCAGGTACCAAAGTCTTTTCTCTATTTGAAAAGCAACTTTTCTTCCTTCCAGGGTGGATTACAGGAAGTTGCTGAACAGTTAGAGCTGGAACGGATAGGACCTCAACACCAAGCAGGATCTGATTCATTGCTTACAGGAATGGCCTTTTTCAAAATGAGAGAAGTATGAAGACATCAGTGCCTTTTTCTTGGTTGTTAGATAGAGAACATTAAAAATCTGATGACAAAAGTTTGGGGCATTAAGAACCTACTAAGTGAAGATATAGAGGTACTACATAAGTTACATCCACCACACGAGTGAAAGTGTTAAATAAGTCCTCCTGAAATATAATTCAAAAGGGAATAAAAGGAAAAATTCCTTATGGAATAAAAAAACATTCCATTTATGTACACGAAAGATGTTATTTATAGAATATAAAATGGTTTGACTATAGAAACTATGTACATGTGAGCATCCTATTTCTCAGGGGAACAGACAGACCAGAGGCTAGTGACTGTTTGCGCTCAAAGATCACTAGTGAGTAAGTTGTAGAGGACTTTCTTAGTCCCTGTAAGTGTCCCTTCTGAGGCAGGCATTTGTGACGGATTTCCTTAGTTGGCCCTTCTCTTACTTGAAATTGGTGGTGAAAATGTATTTGCTCGTGTCTTTTGTAATTGCTTTGAAGACTTTATAAAGTAGAACTTAGAGTTCTTACTAAGTCTTTAATGGGGTTTTCAATTATAAGGGGTTAAATAAATCTGAAATCTGATGTATAGTTGAATTAAAAACTGTTATCAGGCTGGGCAGTAGTGACACGTGCCTTTATCCAAGCACTTGATAGGAACACACACACACACACACACACACACACACACACACCATTAAGTACTTCAATATAAAATTGTTAGGAATGGAAGGATGATGTTTAGCAAAACAGTCTGTTTTTATGTTAGATAATTAGATGATGGGTGGTGTGGTTACCTCATTGATGGTAATAATAAAAGAAAAACATTTTTCATTTTACCAAACCAAGGGTGAATTTTTTTTTTTTTTTTTTTTTTTTTTGGCCTGCAAAAACATTTTTCTTTTTGCAAAGTATTTGCTGTGGAATTATTCTGAGTATGTTCTTTTGGTAGAAGCATGCTAATGATAGAACACATTTGATTTGTTTTGTCAGGTAGTATTGATTCAGAAGTTATTTGGATTTTCCACTCATGAGAAGTAAATATTTTGTTTCGTTTCAATACAACCACCTTTTGGATTTTCATTTTTAAAATGCTTAATGGTTAATTAATGGCGGGTTTCCAGCACCAGCTTATTATCTTTATTTTCCTTGGCTTCTTCAAGAACAGTAATGTAGTGAGAATGTTCAGGTGTTTACTGCCTATAACATGTTGAGGATTTGGTTAGTTTTAGTTAATTCAGCCTTGCACATAGACAAAAGACAACTTTAAATGGTATAACGTCTTCTCCCTTCTGCCATTATTTCTCTCATTCTGTTGAGTTGGCTGTATTAATGAAATAAAAATGTCTGTTCCCATGTTTCCATGCTCATAAATTCTCTTTAAAATGGTATAAATGTTAATGAGACATAAGCAAAGACAGATTTATGCTTTTTAAAAAGTGTCCATTAGGCCTGTGGTCACAGGCATCAGTCTTGTTAAATGGACAGTGTATGTTCTCAAAGGAACTTCACAAACAGCGTTGTTATACCTAATGAATAGCGATTACAGTGTGAGATGTGAATTACAAGTGGTATCTTTTGGTTAAAATTATCTTTTTCTTTCAAAATTCCTTTTTAGATGTTCTTTGAAGATCATATTGATGATGCCAAATACTGTGGTCATTTATATGGCCTTGGTTCTGGTTCATCCTATGTACAGAATGGCAC